GTCGACCGTCGGGGACCCCATCCTCCTCCCCAACATTCAGCATACGGCCCCAGCAGAAACCAAAAGGGCTGGTTTGCTCACTTCGGCAGGGGAGGTGGGCAGCAGGGACAGTATTAACATTCACTTCAAAACACACAGCGCGCACACACAACAGCTTTTTTGAATGACTATCTTAGGTAGCTGCTTCTGTTCTAGGCTTTTACCCCTCCTTAATTACTTGTCATGTGCATCGCTCCAAAACCACTTCCCATCAAATTAAATACGTAAAAACGACAATATTTGTGTTCTGAAAAAAAGTACCTGACATTGTAAATCAAGGTTTTCCTTACGAGAAAAGCTTTTCAAAACGTGGAGCGTTTCTTAAAAACGCTTTGTTGCATGGTGCAGGGTAAGTGCACGAGCCTAAAACTCCCTTGACTTTGCCGATGGCAGCTTTGCGATCGCGCACGTCGCCAGCGCTCCGGTCGTGTCCCGGCCACGGAATGACTAAATGGCTTACCGCAACGCAACCGCCGCCAGGCGAATCACGCGATTCGCAAGGCTGACATTGCTTTTTTATCATGAGCGTCCGAACAAAGGAAAAAATCGAATATTCCTTAGAAATGGTAAAATTTCATATTTAATATAAATCTGCAGCATTTTAGCATGAATATAAGTGATCTTGAAAGCTTTTGTTAGTGAAGAGGTATGTGCAAATATGAGCCCAAGAAAGTGGCAGTAAAGGAGCAATGGAGCATAAATCTCGTGATCACTTCTTATGAGCGAGCCTGGGATTGCCACGAAAAGAGCAGAAATTTTTTTGTGAGAAGTAAATTTTTCAGTTTTAATAAAATGTACAACATCTGAATTGAATAGTTGCAGATGAAAAGCTTTTCTTTTTTCACTCTTTCTTTCGTCCGTGGAATCAGTTTATACACATAAGACCACGAAGGTGGCCGCAATCAGGAAATGCAAACAGTTTATCCCAGTCGATCCACAGCTTGGTTTTCACATATTTTTATCATTCCCAAACCCACTCAGAAAAAATGATGCTCACTTTTATGCTTACTGCGCGTGTTTCTATAACATGCAAAAACCGCTTTGAAAAGGCGCTTCTGTCCTGAAAGACTTTCCTAGTTAAAGATTACGGCACATTTCTAACCACGATGATTTCACCTTGGATAATGAGTTAAGTCGTATAACTTCTCAAAGGCGTAGACGAGGCTATTGAAGGTAAGCCACTTCGTAACCTCAACACCTTGCCTGCGCCTTGTTCACCGTAAGAAATCGTTACAGAACCTTGTCTCTTTCCTCACCAGAAGTTGTACCTTTTCTCCCTTGCTTCATGAAATACCAAAAAAAAGCCAAAAAATTTGAATTCCCGCCGTAAAACTGTCACAACTGTTGGCGCTATGCAGCCAACACGTAAAAACGGGTTGAAAGTGTTAACGTGAGCAGGTTTCATGTTGGACCTTCCCTTAAACTTGTCCGTGGGTCTGCGCTGGCCGTGCACTCCGTCACAAGAGCACTTCTGGTCCCTCCCACCGTGGCCGATGCCGTCCAGCAGATGGGAAGGAACGGCTTTTCCGTGGACGATTTCTTGGAACACACCAATAGCAAATTACCTTGACCCATTCCATGACTATTTTCGAATGTGAGCCATTCTCAGTTCTTCCAGTTTCACAGTAATTCTTTTGCGCCTTTGCATACTAGTAGTGCCCTGCAATAGATTGAGGTGGGTGAGGCTTCGGCTACGAGCAGGCCCAAATATGATGAATATTAGGGGAATCATCATCCATCAACCCTTTTTCAGAATGTGCCACGTTTCTGTATTCCATATTTTTCAGCCCAATCGATGAATAACGGAGCACGAAATTGGAGTCTAAGATTCTACCCTTTACAGGAATTTAATCTCAACTAAGGCGCATCGGCTAAGAAGAGCAACCAACTGCTTTGGATAAGGTCCGAAAACTACGCTAGCGTAGTGGCTCTTCTTCTCAGTGCACCATTTCAAGCTCAAGGATCTGAGAAGAAGCACAATAGTTTTCCCTTTCACAGGATGACGAATATGCTTCGATTCTATGATGGGAATTCAGTTCGCCATCTGAAATAGGTCGTTAAGACCCTATCGTTGAACATTCTTGCTTGGAGACACACGACGCCATCCCCTGGGGAGGCTTTGAGACTTCTCATGGTTGTATTTCATTCGTTTTTCCTCTATCCGATCGCGACTTGCAGCCGATCGAGGATCCGTCGCCGAGGAATCGAGTTACTCGAAGGTGCTTCTCAGATGATGCAAATTGGAACAGAACACACACGGTGACGAAAAATTGCCATGAGCCCTTTAGCGAAGGACGGCCGACGGCAGAGGTGGAAAGGCACCGCCCACATCTCGCGCTCAGTCATCAACTATTCGTACTTCACTCATTTCCTTGTCACTCACTTTTGTCCTGCCCCAGCTAGCACCACCATCTAATGTGTGTGTGTGCTCTAGCCGACTGTTGGTGTTTCCATCGCATCTACACTGATGAAAATGGTTTCGCATAAATCATCGCCTGAAACCACTCACTAACTATGAACATTTATCCTGAAAGTTCGTTCCAGCTTCATTTCCTGTTCTTACCTCTGTGTTCTCCATTTTCTTCCCGTTAACTCTAATTTATATGTCACCCAATTATTTCTCGAATGGCCCTAATTTTTTTTTCGATTTCCTCTGGTTACCTGTCAGCCCTAAAGATAAAGGCAACGTGAGAAAACATAACGATAACCCTTCCGAGATGTCTTTGTCCTGCTTAGCGACATCAATTCAGAGTGAATCAAGGGCTGGAAATCCCTTACAAATGCAGAGAAACATGGAAATAACCCGAAAAGACATTTGAACTACTCTTAGAGTAGAGAAAACCTCCTGATCAACTCTTTAAAGTCAGTGGAAGGTTTTCTAAGATTCGCTTTCAAGGTTCTCTCATGGATCATATTTCTCCTATTCTCTACTCTTGTTTTCCCAGTATTCCACCTGCGGTACTACCTTGCGCCTTGCGACAGGTTTCCTGAGTTGGAAAAAAAAAAAATATTTTTATACCATCTTTCGAAAGTTCTTGTTTGATAGGATGCCACAACTTTCAAGCATGATTTGCAAATTGAGTTCATAACTCAATAGAGCCTGAGCCTCATTCTAACTCACTGCTGACAGTCCGCACGAAACCCTTAGAGGAGAGGTGAACACCAATCCTTGGTATATTGAGCGAGGAGAAACTCCAGTCGGAGGGGGCACTCCCTGTTATCTCATCCGTGGCGCACTAAGTGGAGAGCACTCCTTTGGATCTAAACAACTAGGGTCAAATATTAATAAGTAAGCGACCTCGTTTTAGGGATCACTTATTGATAAAGGACCGGTTGTGCGCCACCTTTATCAACGCATATCCTGCTCACCATCCTAGGGAAATTCATGTCATGTAATTTGTCCACCCTGGACTGCCTTAACATCCTTGCACCTTGCGAAATGGTGGCTGCAATGCTTTAGTTCAGGACCATTTCCTGGGAACAGCAGGCTGAAATCTGGAAGCATCTAGGGGTACTACACCAGGTTCTTCTCAAAAATGATTTCAAATGGATCGATTACGTGTAATAAAAACTCTTATGCCTTAACCTTGGTATTAGAGAGCATAATGGACTGCCCCAGCCCTCCAAATTGAAATCTCACCGTCAGTGAAAACACGGTAATAACGTTGGGTGGGAGGCAGTGCGGTTCGGATGACGTCACTGAACGTCGTCGGTAGACTAGACTACTCATCGCGCTGAGCTGTAGTTAGGACCGCCTCTTACAAGGGGCATCCTTTCAGGGCAAGCCGCGCTCTTTGAAAACGGTTTCTTGCCATTATAAGGACCATTTATGGACCACAAAACCATGTTTCGTTTTCGCTAAGCGGTTCTACTAGTATCAAAAAACCAGTGGAAGTTACTGAAAATGCTTCGATTCCCAGTGGCTGACAGCTACTCAGAGGCCTCTACATGGTCATGACAATGAATATGACATTTGATTTTGACATTTAGCGCCATTTGACACAACTCATAGGCCCCAACCTAAAATTACAAAATTAGGTCTAAGTCAAAATTAAATATTAGATTGAACCAGCGGCAGTATCTTTCGCAACTTTTTGGCACGACAAAACCCCTACCAAAAACGAAGCATGGTTTATGGTCCGAGGCTTAGACTTAGGCTTAGTCTGGAGGGCAGATAAGCCAGCAATATGCACCCCCCTCTGCATATTTGGCTGGCTTATGCTTGAGCCAGTATGATGGAGCTAGGTCTTTAGTCCTCCCCCCCTAGGTTGTTTCGACGCGAGCGTGAGTGGCTGCTATCAATTCTGGGTGACTTGACGTGAGGTGGGGAACAGAAATGCACCCCGATTCATGCCTCCCCACAATATGCAAGAAACCGTTTCGAGGAAACGCCGTTTACCCTAAGAGACCCCCCTTAGCGCCTTCGCACCAATGGCGTCCGAAGACGTCATCAGAGCGTACCGCTTTACGGCCTATGTGATCTCTGATTCATATTAAGGAAAAAAGACAGATGTTGAGATCCTCCTTCAGCCTTGTAAATTCAGAAACTTATTAAAAGCCATGAGTTGCAGGGGTTCTCATCCAAGAGTTCTGAGGCAGTTTTTCCCGAAGGCTCGTCTCAAAAGAGGTTATAAGCGTCGTGAGCTTCCTCCTTTTATCCCAACGCGATAGAGGGTTTCTTCTCCTAATGCACAGTTTTTCTCAACATTTTCTCATCATTCTCGAAATTTTGACTTACAACTCACTCTTGCGTTTCTGCTCATATTGTTGCTTTCGGGCGAGTCTCAGCTCCAGCACAAGGCTGACGCCTCATGAAAAAGCCGTGTTTTTAAGGAGTGGTGCTCGTCCTCATTTTTGAAATTGGCCATTGCACAAATTGGATGTTAAAGTGAATTGTCTGTGTGCCATTGCTACATACGTGGGACATCATCGACGACGAAGCGTCGCTGTCTTCTGCCAAAATGTCGCTCGACGACGAGAACCCGTTGATTTTTTGCAACGCGTGCCTAGGATCCACCGATCCCGATTATCAGGTGAGTACCCTTTGGTTCAGTGTTGTTGTTTTCATTGCGAATTTGATGGAAGAGTCAAAATAAAGAGCTATCATTGCAGACATACAATCTCACAGTATCCGGAGTGTTGCTGGCCGTTGTCGGCTTAATCGGTCTAGTGGGGAACATTCTCGTTGTTCGGGTGTATACCCACGAGGATCATAGGGTAAGAGGAATTTTTGTCAAGAATTTATGGCGTTTAGCAATTTGACTCTTCCCACCTACATCCATACGAGCTTCAGCGACGTTCGACGTCCATCTATCTGGCCGCTTTGGGATTCTCCGATTTCTTTCTTATTCTCACTGCTATGTTTCTGTTCGTATTGGAAGCATGGCGACATCATAATCATCCCTGTGAGTTTTCATTGCTCTCATGCCACCGCTGAGAGGGTTATCCATTCGGCTTTGTCGCTCTGTCTCTTATTCTTAATAGGCCACCAAAGGCGAAGAAGACGAAGTACCAAATGGCAGCTTAAGCCGTACTGCGTCAGCAGGCGATGGCCTCATGATATATGTGCTGAACGAGTTCGTTCCCGGATTTCTCTTCATCCTCCCGTCCATAAATCCTCTTTGCAGCCACCTACCACATTGACCGTTCATGTTATGACCACTCACAACTTTTACGGCACTACTGACGTTAGAAGTCTTGACAGTTACTTGCTATTTAGTCACTTGAAGGATGAAGACAGCCTGTGTCATTTTCAATGGAAGCTGGACATTTTTCTAGTTTTTCTATGTAATTAGGCAAAATTTTGATATATTACATCACATTTGCCTATTCGAATGGAACAAAAGTTCCGAAACACTTCAATCAGTTAGTTTTGGAATTTTTTTACTTATCGTATTCAAGGGGGAGTGGCGGTGTGGAGGCAAGTGGCCCTGCCTCCCCTCGCGCTGTCCGGGGATCAAATCTTTGATCGTGTGCCGTACAGGCCACCAAGCCCTCCATCCCTCTGGGGTAGGTAATTTGTTGATAAGCTGTCTCAGTTAAGGATGCGTGGCGCGTCCCAGAAGATTAAAGGCACGCTCCGGGATTAGGCGCGCTCGCCTGTTCCATCCCGGGGTAGTAGACAGGCGGACAAGCGTTGATGTCGCGCCCCTTTTGCGGCTTGAAAGTGCGCGACAAAGCGCTAGGAGCTCGTTCGTCCCGCAACTCACACCTTCATC